GGGCGCGATGGACGGGCAGAAAGATGCTTGAGCCAGGTATGGACGTGTGAAAGTAGTGGATGCCATCGACCTCGCCGTTGTTCTTCCCGCGGGCCGCATACTCTCTGCTGAGTTCGACACCGGCGAAGACGCCTGCCTTGCCTCTGATGGACCCCACAAACTGCACCACGCCGTGCATTCCACCCGGCACATCCACACTATCGCCGACGGCAATGCTCTGTCCGTCGGCCCCCATTCTGTTCCCGGGTGAAGCGGTGCTGCCGCCGACGAGCGCTGAAAGAGAAGCCTGGCGGGCCATGTTCTTGCTGGCGGCCAGAGAGAGGTTGGGCGATGAGGCGTGGGGCGCAATGGCAGGGCGGGCGGGCCCTAGGCGTCGTGGGGTATGCATCGACATTGCTGCTCTCCAGAGTCCACTGGCCAGGGACGGAACGTCCTGCGTAGTGTGTCACAAGGAAGGCGAGACTTTGTTTGTTATTGTCGTAGGAAGGGTGAGACCGGGGTGGGTCCTGTAGTAACGGCCGAGGGATGATGACACACCACAGGCCCGCAGCCTGCCCAATCACGACTACGACGACCATGGTTGCGCTGGGTTGCCGCCCCTTTCTGTTCAAGTACTCTGCCCAGTTGTCCAGCATGTTCCACACACCTTCTGTCTTTTCTTTCTCATGGTCTACTGTGATAGTATGTGTGTAAAAATACAAAGTTCCCTATGCAGGTTCAATTGAGTACATACTGAGACGAATCGGCCATGCGCATAAACCATCCAAGGCTTGGATTGCCCTGCAATGCTACTTGGTTGGAGACACCCACGAGAACCCACCCTTCAGGTTCTCCCTCTGTACCAAACACGCTTGACTGAGCAATTACAGACCCATGCAGCAGACTATCCTTTACACGGCAGCATATTGGCATGGTGACATCCCATCCCAGCTCACATCAAAACAATGGCTAGCTTCTCGGGGTACGACGCCATTGAAAAAGCCACTACCGGTAACGCTTACGAGTGCCGTACTTGTTCTACTCTACAATCTAAAACTACCCACAGTTACACTTCTCTTGCCACTCCTCACGCAACATTGTTTTGAACTTGCCAAACAGACAGTCGTGGTCCGTGGAATCACAAAGCTTTCGTATCCTAGGTAACTACTATGCGTAGGTTTGGTGCATGCATAGGTACCAATAGCCACGAACGACGCGTGAGCACGTGCGCGATCTCGCTTTCAAACTCCACCAGTGCAAGTTGAGATGACTATCTCGAATAAGATCGTGTCGCATGAACGGTTACTGAATTCATCTACTGTCGTCTAAAAGCTCTAAGGTCTGAGGTCATCAGAAATACTCATGCCACAAGAGATGGTTAACTCCCCCTACCGGTATACGCCACATGCTTTCATCTCAGCCATCCAGCAGAACGCTCGTGTTATTCTTTTCAAGTGCTGCAATTGCATTGCGTGCTCTATACACATGATAATATCCAGTATCCTACCCAAAGCGATGCCCAGGCACAACTCTGTCTGTCAATGTCGACGTTGGGTCAGTATGCACGTCGTGCGGCGAGTCAAGACCACTCCCGAGCAAACATGCGGAGTCCCCAGATGCCTCGGCTCAGCTTGCGAAAGCACGACGCCCCAACCTTCATATCGCCCTTGTGCCCGCGCAATGCCACGCACACCTGTCAAACACTTTTATAATGGCTGCCGAAGTGCGACAACCGATCGATGTAGCCTCGCTAGAGCGCTACATTGCCGACAATGTCCCTGAGATTGTGGTACCCGTTGACGTCAAGCAGGTACGTTGTTACAACAGTGTTGAAGCTGGGGGGAAGGTGAAACATAATAGAGCTGATTGTGGGTGAAGTTTGGGTATGGACAGTCGAACCCGACATATCAGTTGACGGATAAAACTGGCAAGAAATATGTCATGAGGAAGAAGCCTCCGGGCCAACTTCTGTCCAAGGTATGCACATCTCCAAGCTGTTGTTGGCTTCATGGGGCGGAACTGACCATCTTTGACAGACTGCACACAAGGTCGACCGTGAATACCGCATCATCCATGCGCTGGAGAAGACCGACGTCCCAGTGCCCAGAGCACTCTCCCTATGTCAAGACGAGAGGGTCATTGGCAGCGACTTCTATATCATGGAGTTTCTCGACGGCCGCATCTTCGAGGACCCTGTCATCCCAGACGTAACACCCGAAGAGCGCACCAAGATGTACGTCAACCTAGCCTTCAAAAAGAAGAAACACCATGTTCCATATATCCATACAACAAGCTAACCCAAAATCCAACCAGGTGGCACTCCGCCATAACCACACTCGCCAAGTTCCACCGCATCAAACCGGCCGACGTAAACCTCTCCTCGTACGGCAAACCCTCTGGTTTCTACAACCGCCAAATCGCCACCTTCAACACAATCTCGCAGTCACAAGCCTCAGCCAAAGACGCCGACACAGGCGAACCCGTCGGCAAAATCCCCCACCAAGACGACATGGTCGCCTTCTTCCAAGACGCACGAACCCAACCCAAAGACCGCGCCACTTTTGTCCACGGAGACTACAAAATCGACAACATTGTCTTCCACAAGACCGAGCCCAGAGTCATCGGCATCCTCGACTGGGAAATGAGCACAATCGGTCACCCACTCTCCGACCTCAACAACCTCCTCGCTCCCTACGTCACGGCGGAGTCGCCAAAGGCCCAGGCCGTCGGCAGAGCTCACGCCGGCTTCAGGCCGGGCGCTACACCGGGCCTGCCCACCGAGGACCAGCTCGTGCACTGGTATTCCGAGGTGGCGGGCTGGGACCCTCGTCCAGATTTCACATGGGGTCATGCGTTTACGACGTACCGCACTGCCATCATCATGCAGGGTATTGCGGCGCGGTATGCGCTGCGGCAGGCAAGTAGTGCCAAGGCGCAGGAGTATGGGCAGATGATGAAGCCGTTTGCTGAGATTGCTTGGGATTTGGTGCAAGAGTACAAGAGGGATCATGGAAAGGCGAAACTTTAGATTGAGATTTTGGAAAAATGTCGGTGGTTTTCGTGTGCCAAGTGAATGAGAAATGGGATGAGTACCCAGTGTGACAGCATGGAAGACCGTTTGTTAGTAGTGCTGCGACGATAAATCTGTGGTGTATGCATTCCAATACTGTACCTGATCCATGCGTGTCAGATTTAACGAGGATCCACTGGAGAAGAATGGTGCATCAAAAGTAGTCTTAGGGGTTTCTGGAAACTGTGTGAGGGCTTGAATTGGACTTGCTCCGTATCATTGGCTATATGATGATGTTGATGTCAGTTATCTGGAGCTGCACTCCTTTTGTTTCCACACTGTTTCCTGTTATCCAGGCGGCCAAATAACCCGAAGCTGGTATCATATCGTAGGCGTGTAGTCCTGTAAATAACTCAAGTGTCAACATGACAAGTTTTTTTTTTCTGAAGAAAAAAACGGCAGGCCAGTAGATCGGCCTGTCACAGCGACCCCAGGTGGGAATGTGAACCTGGAGAGGCATACCCACGAGTTGCTGCGCCCCCAAACGCCCTGAACGCCTTGTTATGCGAAATCGTGCTTGCTGGTGCCCATTCTGCAATTGTTCCCAAACGTAGCGGTGCCGTTTTATGTACAGATCTGGGTGAGCGGCGCGAGTCTCTATCGACCGATCTTGGGGACATCCTGGTTGATGCGATCGAGAGCCTGTGTAGTAGAGCTTGTTAGAACCAGTGCAATTGAGCTCGGAGCCAGAAAATACGCACCTCGAGCATGACGACGGAGTTGCCGCGGATGACCACCATGCCTATGCGGACCTTCTCTCCTCCGGCTTTCTCCTCTAGAGCTTCGTCGAGGACAATGTTCAAGTAGACCTGTGTCGTCAGCGTTGCGCAGGCCTGGCTGAACTCCGTTTTACGTACATCGTAGCCACGAAGGATGCCCATGACTTTGCGGCTGCCGTTGAGCTGCACGAGCACTCGCTTCTCAAGATACTACGGAGAGTTAACACACTGCACTGTCATGATGGCTTGCGCTGCGTACTTACTTTCTTCAGCTCTGGTTGCGCTTGAGGCATGTTTGCGGCAGATGTTTGCTTGTGATCTGGAATGCAGGTATTTCAAGTTTCGAGGTACTGCTTGGCGTAGATGTTATGATGCGCTGTAGTGGGACTCGCGTGGCAGCGTTGTGTATGATCAGAGTCGCGTATGCGGGACAGCTTTTTGATGCTCGGCGAACGGCGGCCCGTGCACGACAGTAGCATGTGAGCGCTGTTGGCTTGATCATTGTCCTTGTCACCTCCAAACTCCCAAAATATAGCCTGACATCGCGTATGAGCTCACTCCCAGCTCCAGCACCATGAAGCGATCAGGTTCAAATCGCGTTGCCCGCAAAATTGGCTCCTACGACGACGAAGCATCCGCTGAGAGCACCAACAATTCTCAGAGTGAAGTGCAGAAGCCAGCAGGTTAGTCCACACCTCGTCGCGATTGCCAGCTTTTCTGACCTTACTAGGCCTTCCCTGCTGACTGGTTTCGTAGTTGTCAAGCGACCTGCATTTGGAAAAGCCAGAAAGCGATCATCACTGCGAATATCATTCGGTCCTGGCGAAGATGCCAACGATGGCGACGGATCTAGCGATGGCACAGTCGTAACACCGAAGAAATCGAACCTGAGTCGCATAGCGCTGGAGAAGAGTGCGCAGTTGCGTGCGCAATCCCCTCTCGTCCCCGAAGCCTCTCGTCCTACAGAGTACAGCAAAGACTACATAGCCGAACTACGAAACTCCACACCCTCGACGCCTCGGGACCTAAAACCATCCGCAGAGGAGGAAGAGGAGACGCGTGCCCTCGATATAGCCTCCAAGTTTGGCCCAGTCGTGCCCGAACCTTCGTCCGCGATACCTACACAGGCTGAGATACAGGAAAAGAAGGCTCGCCGGAGACGTTTGGCGCAAGAGAAAAACGCTCATGACGACGAAGAGCAACCATGGGCATCCGATGACGAAGGCGAGGACGAGTTTCGCCAAAGAAGGAGTGAGATCTCGTTACGTCCAAAGGAAAAATATGCAGAGACGCGACTGGTACATGAGGACGAGGATATTGCAGAGGGGTTTGATGACTTTGTCGAAGACGGCAAGATAGCGCTTGGTCGCAAGTCAGAGAAAGAAGCGCAATGGAGGCGGCGAGCAGAGATGGCAGAGCTCATCAACGAGGCGGAGGGAGGCTCAGAGGATGAGGCAACGGACGATTCAGAAGAGGAGAGGAATACTGCCTTTGCAGCAGCTCAGGCTCGTGCTGGAAGATATGGCCAGAAGATAGAGGACGAGGAAGACGGGTCAAAGACGCCTCCTCGCATCGCACCCCTCCCGGACCTTGACGAAGTGCTCGAGGGCCTCTCTATGGACATACGGACGAAGCAGCAGCGCAAACAGTTGATTCTGCAAAAGCTGCAGGAACTAAAGGACGACAAGGTCAGGATCGAAGAGCGAAAGAAGTTCCTGCAGGAACAGCTACAGAAGACTGGGGATGAGTATGAGAAGATGCGTCAGGAAGCTGGTCTGCCTGCGTTGCCTACAAATGGGGCAGGAGGCCGGCTCTTGACGGAGCGCGGTCTTGATAGTCTTGGAACCACACCTGTAGCAGGTCGCTCGAGCGCAGAGTCGGACGAAGAGTAGCAATAGTCGCTTTCACCGTCCAGCGCAGCAACCAAAACTTCAAAGGCCATGTAATCAGATTACTACATGCCCTAAACGCATGCCGTGACGCTCCGAAAACTCAAGTCAAGATACCCTTGATCCAATTGCGCCCATGAACACAATGCTCCCATATTATACAAGTCCCCCTCCCGATACTCCCTCCATGTCCGCCTTCTCCCCACACCTCATTTATTCGCATCCAGCTCAGCCCAAACCTGCTTAATCTTCTCCCTCTTCTCCTTGGCCTGCTCGCGATTCTGCTTCGTCCGCTCGAGCCGCAATCCGCGCAAACACATGTTGACCTTGTATTTCGCATCCGTGCAATTCCCCGCTACTTTCCATAGGAAGCCGCGGGCGTGGCATTCGTCGAGTGCGGCTACAACTTCTGCGCAGCCTGGAAGAGGGCGGGGGGGGAATAATTGTTAGTGGCGCGGTTGGGGTGGGGAGGGAAGATGTGTGGGGATGAGGCGTACTCTTTTGGACTTCCTCGGTGTGGAGATGGGGATGCATGGTGCGATTTTGTGGGTTGGGAGTGGGTTGGCGCGGGGTGGGATGGTTTGGTTGCGGAGTGTGGAGGTTGCGAGGGTTACATGTGGTGATGGGGGTTGGTATGGTGGCGTGGAAGTGCAAGTGGAGTTGTCCATGTCCAACATCGATCGTTCCGACAAATCGGGAAGTCACAAGATTTCGTGATCTCGAGTCTTAGCGCGCTACTCCACCGTCCTCACAACTCCCGACTTTTGCGCTATAGAAATACGTCTTTACTTTCCAGGACGGCAATCGAGTGCTGTTTTCTTGTACGGCTTGAGCACAAAGTGGTTTCCCCCGGCGCTGGATCAGTCGTCGTTGCTCGAAAGTATCTTCTCGTCTCCGGTTTCCCCGCAACATACAGGACAGCGGCCAAGCACATCACCAACACATCGAAATGGCGTCACAAGCGCAGCTGAAGAAGCAGCAAGGTAAGTAGCGGCATAATCGAGCTAGAATGACTTTGACTCTTGACACTCATGTTTCTGCAGAACTTCAATCCACATATCAAAACTACAAGAACACATTACAAACCATTGCCGCGAAAATCGGGGACATTGAGCAAGAGACCGAAGAGCACAAGTACGTCACCAGACGCCATTCCTTCTCAACTTTCGGTCCTTTTCGTTTCATTTGTACACCGCTATTCCTGCCCGCTGCTGTTGCTTGTCGTCGACGGTCGAACTCTATTACCCCAGTTGATAATACACCGCTCTATCTGATCAACATAGCAGGCGCTTCCACTGACTTACTTTAGACTGGTACTAGAGACCCTGACCCCACTACCGGGAGACCGAAAATGCTTCCGCATGATCAACGGCGTTTTGACTGAGCGGACGGTCGAGGAGGTGGTACCGATTCTGCAGACCAACTCGGATGGGTTGAAGAAGGCGCTAGACGAGCTGGTCAAGCAGTACAAGTCGAAGCAGGATGAGATGGAGAAGTGGAAGGTACGTTGATCTGTAAACTTGGTTGCGGGTACAGGAGACTGACGGGAATCACTGCATCGTCTATAGAAGAAGAACAATGTCCAGGTTGTTCAGCAGCCGGGTCAGTGAGAGTCAGGGAGCACACATGACTCTGGAGGCTAGGCGACGATGGGCGATGAAAGCTGGGTGGTTGAGAGTGCGCAAAAGATCCGGTTGTTGCATACGAGCATTGATGAGTGGATCGCGTCACATGACATGGCAAAGTGTGCTATTGGGCAGGGTCGGGAAGGGGATACCTACAAGGGGAATGGGGGAGAGGGGGCTTGGATGATTGATACTCTACCCATATCACCACCATGCCAGTGGTAGATAGACTCCATCCAACAAAGAGGCATTCAGCACTCGGGCAATCGGGCACTCGGGCCTTCGAATCCCACGTGTCTCTCAAACGGTGATATTGTCCATGGAAGTTGCAGAGATTTGTGCTGTTGATTCCCAAGAAATCTCCGTAGGCCAGGCACTAGGCCATTCAAGCCTTTCTGAGACGCCAGGCAGCAGGCCGGTCGTATGCAAAGAACAAGGCGGGCGGGCCAGCAAGGTTGGAGAGAGGAGGAGTTGGGTAGTTGGGTGCCGTTGTGGCGGAATGGACAGTTGGCCGGCACGTGCTGGCTGCATCGAGGGCTGCTGCAGGATGAGGTGGCCGTCAAGTCAGAGTGCGGTGATCGGCGAGGCAAGTGAATCCACGGGCCCGGACAGAACTGCTCATAGGGTACCGTGGGAAGATACGGCGAACGGTCAAGGGCAGCCATGTGAGTGGACGGGCTCAACGTCAACGTCAACGTCATTGCCTGTTTGAAGCTGAAGAGTGAAGCTGAAACAAGGATGGCGATGATGATGATGATGATGATGATGATGATGATGATGATGATGATGATATGGGCATGGCACTTGAGCCCAAAGGACAAGGCTTCGGGACGGGGCTAGGATCATGACAGAAGGAAGGAACAGCACATCAGGCAGAAAGAATCCCACGCCGTGACGACAGCAGGCTGTCTCTCTCTCTCTCTCTCTCTCTCTCTCTCTCTGTGTGTGTGTGTGTATGTGCATGGACACGTTGTGGGGGGAGGGTGAGGGTACCCCCATCGCAGACGCTACCTAGAGTACAGTACCTACAGCTTAGTAGTACGTCAGGCGGGGGTGGGCAAGTATTATCCAGCGTTGGCTTTACTGTGTATCTGATGACGGTACGTGTAGATGAGTGTGCGTGTGCGTGTACTGTACTCTACATGATAGGGCAATGTGGAGAATAGAACCAATGAGATATTTGCATAGGATCGCTCCAATAGGAAAATACTTGGAAAAAAGAACACGAAGGTGAGTCGATGGGTGGTTGGTGGATAAGTGGGAGGTCTGAGGAGGAGGAGGGGGGGGGCCCTGCATGCAGAGCTCCCAGCACCCCCAAGCACCTGAGGCATGATCTATCTGATCGCCCTCCCAACGCGGCCGAGCCATGCAGAACAGAAGTTGAACAGAAGCAGTGCGCTGACGTCTCTCGCTCGCTCGCTCGCTCGCCCGCTCTCCACAGCGCATGCAATATCAACCTGTTTTATGGCATGTATGTGCCATGTGTTTGCATCCAGTTCTGAGGGCATGCGTCCTGCTGTTACCTAGCAGTTCCTTCGGCACCGTCAACCACCAACCACCAACCATGACTCAGTAACCATGGGAACGTGAAAGCATGGCTAGCGACGATTGTAGTATTGTGTACCTACCGAAACCCGGGCCGCACCGAAACGAACAAGTCGGGCGAGTCTCTCTCTCTCCCTCCCAACACGATTCGCCCACGGCACTCTGCAAACCCCATCTCTCTCTCCGCCAGTCCACCCCAACCCCATATCCATATCCTGATCCAAGCTTCGCACAGTCCGCACGCGTCAGGGCTGAAAGCTCGCCTCGCGCTCCCATTGGCCAGGCGCGTGGTTAGCTATCCAACCTTCTCTCTGCGACAAAGACTACCTACCCTACTACGCTTGGGAAGTCCAGTCCCAACTTTTTGCTGTTGCCTCGTGACATCGATTGATCGATTTGACGGATTGCTTGACCTGACCGCACCATCAGCCCCGCCGCTCTGCCCGTACGCCAGTCCGTCTATCCGTCTGCCCTGCCTGCATCCACCCATCCACGGTCCACCCCCTCCTCCACCTCCTTCTCCTCCTCCGTCTCTGTAGAGTCCATCCCACCCGCTTTGACACCACCGCCTGCTCTAGCTCTGACCTCCTGCATGCAGTCCCACCACCCGCCTCCCCAGAAGACCGCGATAGCTGCGCCGTGGTAGTTGCAGTCGCAGTCGCAGTCGCAGTCGCAGTCGCAGTCGCAGTCGCAGTCGCAGTCGCACGCATAGTCGCAGTCGCACAGCACGGCACCTTACACCCCCGCCCGCGACCAGACGTCCTCTGCGCGCCCTCAGTGTGCGCCCGCGCCTGCCCTCGTCCAGCAAGTGTCCATTGCGCCTACCCTCTCACGACGGTTGCGCCTGCCTGTTTGAGTGGTGCGCCTGCCATCTCACTCACCACTCTCTCACTTTCTGTCGCTCACTCGCCCTTTCCCTCCCTCTGAGTCGTCGCCTCCTGTGCACCGTGTGTACGGTGTACCGTATACATACCGTGTACCGTGTACTGTGTACCGTGTACTGTATACCGTCCGTGTACCGTGTACTGTATACCCGTGTACTGTATACCGTCCGTGTATCGTGTACCGTATACCCGTGTACTGTACACCGTTCCGTGTACCGTATACCCGTCGGCCTATCCCCTCCGGGGATAAGAGTCATGGACATTGCCAGCTAAGT